AAAATCTCTCTGTACCCATGGGGAATTGATTGCAGAACATTCCCCCAATGGAGACTGAATACCAAATCCACAGATATTCAAGTCCTTCATGTAAAGTAGTATGATATGTGTAAAACCTATAAATGTTCTTCCATATATTTATCTCTAGATTATTTATATTACCTACTACAAAGTAAATGCTATGTATATTATTGTTAGGCTATATTGTTTACACAATAATAATAAGAAAAAAAGTCTGTTTGGGTTCCGTAAGATGCAATAATATTTTCAAATACAGTATTTTTTATTTGTGATTGGTTGAATCCACAGATGCATAACCTGCAGATACAGTGGCCAAATGTGTAAGTGTGTATATGATTCACATAAACATATCACAAATATAATATATGATTATTTTATATGGAGCCACAACATTTTAATGATCAATTTTCTCAGAGAGCAAGACCAAACTTTGACATTGCCTGCTAGTTTAAAGTTTTTTGAAAAATTAACCAAATATCCATTTTTTCCTTATCTCTGTTCTTCCAGCGTTTTTCTTATTCTCTAGAAATTTTAAACCAGACCCAAGCTTTTAATTTGAGTCATTAGATGCAGGCAATAACCTAATTATACAATGTCTCTTACAGAATTTATTTAAAATATTTGCAAGATATTTCTGAAAAGCAAAAATCTTAAAACTAAAATTGTTTTGAATAAAACAAACATACATATAAGAAATATGCATTTGCCTTTGTCTCCCAAGATTTACATTCTCTCTCTGCCTTGCTTAGATATGCTGCCTAGCACACTGCTTTGACAACAGACAACTAATAACTCTTGCTCACTAATGAAACTCAGCAGCACAGGGACTGTGATCTGACATATTACTAATGTATGGGAAATTATTCGACTCTGGTTATATGCACCATTTATGTAAGCAGTCAACTATGATATTATTTTTAGAATGTTCAGATGTATTCATGTCACAAATTACATAAACCATCTTCCCCTTCCCATTATAATTTCAATTATTATAATTAATTAAAAAGCACTTGAATTAAAAATTCAATTAGGTGTTTTACTACATAAAATAATTAAGTTTAAATTCATTTTTTATATGCCTTTAATGAATGAATATAAATTTAAACTTATATGCCTTTTGGAGAGAAAAGATAGCTAAAACCAGTATTTAAGAGAAAATTTAAAAGAAAGATTTTTAAATATACTATAAAGATATGAACTCCCATGTGTATATGAAAATGGAATTCAATAACATTCTCAAATTTATAGAATGCAAATCCTGTCGCTCTTGATAATTATGGATGACAGAACAATTAAAATCTTAAGAACAGTCAGTTATATGACTCAGAACTAGCCAGAATGATCTCTACTGACATAACAAATAAAGAGGTGACAACAATTTAAATATCCAACCGCCAGGTTAAAAAGCACACGTATGGCTTTAACGGATATTTTTTCTTGAATCATGAAATTAATCAACTGGATTTCTTTTTAATCACTACATAGAGTATTGAAAACTAAATTTAATGCTAACTACAGCAATAAATAATTACATGATTTTAAGATTCAGGCTCTGGAGATTAAAACTCTAAAGAAATATTAAAGTTGTGAATTGAAATTATTTTAGAAGATTAATAGTTAAACTTTTGACTGTTCACTTTACAAAGCTCAAGTCAACTTTAAACAAACTAAAAATCACTAGATGACTATGCAAGACTGAGGTTCGGGTGTACTCATGAAGTCAAAACTACACAAAAAACAGAACTAAATACAGTTTATAAAAGTGAAACAAACATGGACTACTTCTTAAATGCTTTTGGAATCAGAGAGAGTATATAAATTGCTGACATTAGGGTCCCATGTGCCATTTGCTTATGAAATAGTTTGTCTTTCTAAAAAACAACAACAACAAAAACTGAGCTGGGTTTAAAAAAAAAAAAAAAAAGCCATGCCAGTTACTCATTTAGCCAGCAGAATTTTAATTTTGTATAGAGAAAAAAAATATAGAAACTATTACATTTTTAGACTTCACATGGTTGAAAACCATGAACACAACAGATAATAGACTTTGGGTATATGAAATAAATATGTTACAATGGGGGACTTGGACATCAAATGTCTTATTATCCAACTAGACACAATGGACACCTAAGATCCCTCTTAGCCTGATATTGCCACTCACACACTCCTTGCCTCTTGTTAATTTTCACTAAAGTGCTGTCACAGAACCCACATGGCCAGCACTGCGACCCAACAAAGCCCTTCAAGAAGTACAAAACTTCATGGAAGTCTCCTTCCCAAAGATATCTCTTAAAGAGGCAAAATGATGAGAAAGAATATCTATGTTCTACCCCAAGAGGAACTGTGCACTTCTGTTGATGTTTTTTAAGAGAAGCGGCAAGTATGATAAAGGGCCAGTCAAGGAAAAACAGACATCTTCCACATTGGCAGCAAGTAAATTCTGTTTCTCTATAACAATTAGACCTTTTGATGAAGACATAAGATCCTCAATTCCAACTTGTTGCAGTAATGGAGGAATTAGTTGTGTCATGAGTGTTCCTATCACCACAGAAATATTGAAGCAAATTAATCACCTTGGACATACACAAAATAAGGTTAAGAACTGTTTGGGTGCTAACTTTTAATATCTAGTATAGGTTACTCATTGAAGGAAATATGAATTTTAACAAAACTCGTTTACACTTTCACTGAACAATATATTACTTTTACATAGTGATGCTGCATAGAATTGCTGATGTGTTAGATATACTTGATTGTTTAAAATGCAACTGCCCAAAATTTAGGGAGTACATACAGCTGTCATGTGAGAATTAACAAAAGACAAGAAAATGAGCATTTACAACATTCATTTCAATGCACTTCAATAAGTATGAAAATCTCTTGGGTATAATTTATCAAAAAGTGAATAAGCATAATCATGGAAATGAATACTGTATGATGTACTTTACTACTGAAGAAAAATTTTAGAAAAATCACAGCAAAACCATATAGCAAACAATTGGAAGATAAACTGAGGAGTAACACACTTATGTACAAAGACTGCATATTAATAAACTTCATTCACTCAACACACACACACACTGAACATCTTGTGTGCTAAACACTGGGAGCTCAGATGTGAAAATGATCCCTGCACTAAGGGTATTCAGTAAGGACAAGATAATAAATAATTCCCACATATACAGCACTCTAAGAACAGGAAACTGCTCTAGAAGCACAAGGTTAGAGGTATGCCAACTTCAACTAAGGACATGTAGAAGGGGGTCAGGCAGAGCTTCCAGGAGGAGGAATCATCTAGGAAATCAGGGAAGGGCTGGAGTAAGCAGGATAGAGAGTGAAGCTAGAGGGAAGGGAGTGGACACAGGGCTTTGATGCTTGTTGCCTGCTGGAGGTACATGGAAAGAAGAAGGGCATATGGCAAGCATAGGTGAGTATATACAGGGCCTTGGCACTGCTTAAGAGTTTAGATTAGGGGATGGAAAGGATCCAATTTACATTTCAGAGGGATATGATTTTCAAAAAGGTAGAGGTAGAGGCAGCTGGACAGAGGTCTTAAGGTGAGGTGCTACGATATAGGGGCAGAAGCCCACATATCAAAGCTTCATGAAGCTGAGTGTATGATGGGAAAATACTGAAAAAATTATAAACAAGATTCTAACTGGATCTGATTTAGACTTTAAAAAAAGGAAATAGTTTTGAGTATGAACTGTAATCCATTTGGGGCACACAAAGTATGACTACAGAAAAGTAATGGAGATTACAGGGAAAAAGATCAAGATGGCAAGATGAAGGTATAAGGATATAACTACAATGATCATAATTTCAGAAAACTAAGTTACTGTGGTCACATACAATATTATTTATGATTGTTTTTGGTATCAATACATATGAACACATTTTATTACCATCTAATGAAATCATTACATAATAAGAAAACAAAAGACAAATACAGTGATTAATTAAAAGAACGAAGATTAAGCCAAACTTGTTAATAATTCACTATTACATCTATGTATGTATATCCAAAAAGAACCCATGTTACATGGGTTCTTTTTGGATATACATACATAGATGTATAGTACAAGCATGACATTTCTATATATGTCTAGTACAAGCATGACATTTCTATATAAGACCACTTCTATAAAAAATGTTAATAGATAACTTGGTTTTATGTATCCCACATTATTTTGTAAAAGGAAACAACTATTTGATCAATCAAAAAATTTATTTGATTCAAACAGCAATAATGATTTTTAAGACATATATTATAAAGTGATTTAAGCAATTTTCAAATAAAATCACAAAGATAACAGTGGTATATGTCAGTCATCCTTGTGTAGCTAAATTTTCTTTGCTGAATTACTAGAATAATCTTAGTCCTACACATTTTCCTTCTATTCACTTTTTTAGCATCAATAATGAGGTCTTAAACAGAACTGACTAGTTTTCTTAAATAACTTTTTTGATGATGGTCACAAGGTCACTGCATGAAAATGTCACCCATAGTCACTCTATTGTATCTATCAAAAAACAAGTATGATAGAGAACAAGTATGTATTATTAGAATGTTCAATGATTATAAATAAGGTAAATTAATTTTCTCAGTGCCTCACACATGCTAGGAAAGCACTCCACCACTAAGCCACAACCCCAGCCCCCATAGAGCATTAATAATTAAAAAAATGGACTGGGGTATAGCTCAGCAGTAGAGCACTTGCCTAGCATGCATGAGTCTGAGTTCAATCAGCACTGCCAAAAAAAAAAAGTGTACTAAATTCCAAACTATCAAAAAAGATGGGTTTGAGCTAATAAGTTGAAATAAAACTCATCTCCCACCCTCAGTAAGAATGAAAAAAAATTTGAATAAAGAGAAAAGCATTCTAAGCATATATTAATTGACAAAAGCACATCTATATCTACTATTAGCATAGATGCACTCAATTACTTTTAAAACTTCAGTTACTGTGTTTACTTACCTGTTGGAGGTAGGCAGTCTTTCCAGTCAAAATAGCCTGCATAAATTCCAGGTTCCAAGGAGCCAACGATTGGATCTGCTTTCAGCTCAATGTAATTTTCAAAGAGTCTTTGGTCTAGTTCTTTCAGTGAGGCCATGCTAACCTAGAAACACAGAATAAAAAAATATGAGCTGCCTACCTAAAGGCAAAAGAAAAAGTAAAATAGTGTAAATAATAAATACTTCAGTATATTTTAAAAGTACTTACCAGTTTTAGGATTTTATTTTATCTATTTTAATAACAAAGGTCACTCTTAGCTATTTCACAAGAAATAATCTCCATCTATGAACTATAGATCATCTCTGAGAAAACTTTACTAAGCTTTCATTTGTATAAGCAAATAAAAAAAGCATTAAAAATACTAAACTGTTATCAGCCAATAAACTTCAATAAAAAGAGAACACCTATAATTCTAAAGACTCAGGAGGATGAGATAGGAGGATCAAAAGTTCGAGACCACCAACTTGGCAAGTTGGCAAGCCCTGTCTCAAAATAAAAAAATAAAAAGGGCTGGCGACGCAGCTCAGGAGTGAAGCACTCTGGATTAAATGCCCAGCACAAAAATAATAAATAAGGAATCATGGAAGATAATAAAACTGTTTTTTTTCATATTAATTCATTCATTTAAGAGTAGTATTAATAGTAACAAAACATGTTCTGACCCTCTAAAAACCCCAATGCAGCTTCCTTTCCTGGTTACAGCCCTCCTTGCTGTGGCTTACGAGTGGCTTGATGGAGAGGAGGCATCAGTTAGGACCTATGGTAACTCCAGAGTGCAGGGCTCCCTCCCTCAAAGGCAAATAAAACACTAAAGCCACTGGTGTAAGGACTACAAAGAGACAAACCCTAGACAAAGTTCAGCCCATGTGATTCACCATGAGGTCCCCTGGTGGTAATGGAATCAGAACAGGGATGAGGATGTTGACAGCAGCCCCACATGAGTGTGCCTGTTCTCAATAGCACTCAAGAGGCCAAGAAGTTACAAAAGAGTGCATGTCTGCCCTAGGTTCTCTGCAGCAGATGGTGGCTAGTGTGCTTCCATGCTATTGGTTTGAGAAACACAAGCTTCTCTCCAATACTAGACCTGAGATTCCACAAAGTAACAATGGAAAAAAAACCATATATATGAAGGGTCAGCCTAAAAGAACACCCATCAACAAGTGGCATTCAGCTGTGAAAGATACAAGTGATAATCTAAACAGAAGAATAATAATGCTTAACGTGATTAAAGTATATCACAAAACAATATTTTATAGATAAGACACATTACTTGCATAGCTGTCAACTAAATAGATGGCCACTACTGAGACTGAAATGAAGTGCAAGTAGTACAGAAAAAAAATGTAGAGAAGTAATAAGTAATGATAAGTATGAAAGAAGAGATTTGGAAGATAGATCCCAAGGCAGCAAAGAATAGAAATTCAAGTAGAGATATGTAAGCAATTAGAGAAAAGGTAATAATTAAACAACCCATAAAAGAATATCTAACTGGTTCTCAACCAGAGTTTGCAACTTGAATAGGCTTGTTGAATTGATGAAAACACTTCACACGTCTAGGCAGATACTAACGGTTCCAGTTTCTAAATTAAAAAAGAAAGAAACAGAAAATCTTTCAGGCTTCCAGATCAAAAAATAATTTATTGACAAAGGAGAAAGAATCAGAGTGACCTAAGATTTCTGACATGTAACAATGGAACCTGAAACCACTGGAATATCTTCAGGAATAAACGCATACAACCCAAGAGCCCTATATTTAGCCAAGACATCTTTCCCTCAACCAAGTCCAAGAAACATATTTTTGGTGTATTTAGCATGCATGAGCCTTGCGTTCAATCCCCAGCAGCCCCGTCACTAAGAAAAAAAAAAAAAAAACAAGAAGAAGAGAAATCATGGGAGCATCCAAAAGACAACAACTGAAGAGAATATAACAACATATCAAAACCTATGTGGAGCCAGGCATGGTGGCACATGCCTATAATCCCAGTGGCTACAGAGGCTGAGACGGAAGGATCACAAGTTCAAAGTCAGCCTTAGCAAAAGCGAGGCACTTAAGCAACTCAGTGAGACCCTGTCTCTAAATAAAATACAAAAAAGGGATGGGGATGTGGCTTAATGGTCAAGCACCCCTGAGTTCACTCCCCAGTACCAAAAAAGAAAAAAGAAGAAAAAAAAAAAAACTGTGGAAACAAAGCATTGGCAGAAAGAAATTTATATCCCTAAGTATTTAAAAAGAAAACCTTAAAATGGATAAAGCCTTATAATTAATGTTTTAATCTTCTACTTCAAATAGCTATGAAAAGAGATATTAAGCCCAAAGAAAGCAGAAGGAAAAGATAAAAGCAGAAATAATTAAATTTTTTAAAAAGATGAATATTAATGCCAAAACATTAATGCCAAACACGGGTTCTCTGAAGAGAATAATAAAATTGATTAAATTCTTAGGCAAGACTGATGAAGAAATAAAGAAAAATTAGAATTTACTAATAACAGAAATGAAAATTGCCAATCTATTCATATTGTCAACTATTACATAGTTGATAGCTATGCAAGTTATGTATCTTTATAAAATATTCTTTTGTGATGTACTTTAATCACCTTAAGTATTATTATTCTTCTGTTCAGATTATCACTTGTATCTTTCACAGCTGAATGCCACTGTTTTCCTCAATTGTTCATTTTCCACTACTACAGACTCTATATTAAAAGGGTAGACAAAAGTCATTATATTTTTATGCCAATAAGTCTGACAACACTGAGGAAACTGACAAACTCCTGAAAAACACAGCTTTCAAAAACTGGCACAAGTTGTCTTATATTTATTAAAATAATTGAGTTGATTATTTTAAAAATGGATTTATATAATGAAAAATTTACACAATAAAAATCTCAGGCCTAAATAACTTTTCTGGTGAATTTCACCAAGCATTTGAGGAAGAAATTATATTACATAATGTTTTTCACAGAGACTGAGAGCATTTCCTACTTTAATGAAGCTGGTATAACCCTGGTATCAAAAACTTATAAGGACATGTACAACATCAATTTTTTGCCTATTTTTTATTTGTTCTAATAAGTATAGTACAAATAGAAGAATTAGAAGAAGGAGGGGGAAGACAGTGACGACGAAAATTAATTAACTAATTAATTAATTATGCATCATTGCCCTTGTGAACAAAGACACAAAAATCCTAATAAACTATTGGCAAATGCAATCTACTAACAAAAAAAAGACACAGAGTGGTATTGTTTCAATAGGTAAAAAAAAAGGTACTTATAAAATTCAATATATTTTCATGACAAAAATTCTCAATAAACTAGGAATAGAAAGAAAATCAATATTACAAGTAGCACATGCAAAAATGGCACAAACACAGAACGTTTATCACATGAGATAAGGAATAAGACAGTTATGTCCTCTTTCACCATTTATTTTTGAGGTCATACTAGAGGTCCTATCCATGTAATATATGAAGAGAAAACATTCAAAAAGTAGAAGACATGATGACACACCTTAAAAATCTAAACAAACTGACAAACTCATAAATGAAATAAACAAGTTTGTCAAGGCAGCAAAGTTAGTAACAAAAATCAATTGTACTTTTATATATTAAAAAGAAAAATTATCACATATTAAAATATTTACATTAGCATAAAAAAATATGTGGAATGAATTTTTTAAAAAAATATAGCAAAATCCCTATTGAAAACTATAAAAAGATGACCCAAATAAGTAAATAAGAATTGATACTGTCAATCTCCCAAATTCAATGAACTCCTAAAAAGACATATTTTGGTTGGTAAAAATTCACAGGCTAATCAATAATTTGGAAAGGGCTTAGAGTAGACAATGCAATTTGAAAAGGACAAAGTTGGAGAACTTATATCACGTGATTTCAATATCGCGGGGTGGCCAGCACCCTGCCAGAGAATTCTTGCCTGCTTGGAAGGATAAGCCTCTTAAGAATTTAAAGTCAGAAAAAATTAGTGAAGAACAAAAGACAAAGTTGGAATTAGTTTTAAAGTATGGAGCACCTGATGGGTTCAGTCCAGAGAGCTGGAGGTAGACAATTAGAAAATGGCTCTTGTGGTTTATTTAAAGGGGTACATCAAAGGCAGGGATAAGGTTTCAGGGTGAAGTCTTGCTTCATGATGTCTTGCAATCAGCAAGTTGACTGGTATCTTGGCAGGTCACAACCATGTTAGAGGGGCTATGCGGCTATAGTAAGTCACCCCATCTCTGGTGCTGGGTAGGACCTTTGGCAGAGCTTGAATAGGGCTCACATGTGTTTGGGCAGTCAGCCAGAGGAAATGTCTACTGCAAGTTCCCAGACACCAGATTCTCCTATTAATTATGGTACAATGCCAATACAGTCTACACAGAGCCCACGAATGGCTCTCAACTACTCACATTACATGATTTCAAGTCATACCATAAAGACATAATAAAAATAACAATACAATATTTGCATAAGGATGGTAAGGTAGATCAGTGGAACAGAAAAAGAAGCCTAGACATAGAGCCAATCATATACAATCTTTCCTGTTTCTGACAAAAGCATCAAGAAAATTCAGTGAATAAGGACTTTTTAATAAATTATGCTGAAACAATAATGATATCTACATGGAAAACAATATGAACTTTGACTTCATTTAATATAGAAAACCTTAATAAAAGATAATTATAGACCTAAACATAAAACATAAAAGCTAACAATTAAAAAGCTTCAGGATTTTGTTCAGGATTTTGAAACAGGTAAAGATTTTGACAAGATATGAAGAAAAAAACATTAAAAATTGATAAAGTGAACCTCATAACACTAAATATTTCTACTCAAAAGATATCATAAAAACAAAATAGCTAGCCATGGTTTGGGCTGAGAGAAAAAAATATGTATGTGACAGAAAACTTTAATAGAGACATCTAAAAATCACTATGATGAATAACCCAATAAGCTGAAGAATTATTCTCTTCAAAAAAGAAGGATGTGAATATCTAAATATTTAAGAAAAGGTATTTAATGTCATATTTGTTAGGAAAAGACATTTATAGCAAAAAAATTGATAAAAATAAAGAATAATAATGCATGCTGGTGAGAACATGAG